ACGCTTTTAGTAGTTTTTAACAGTACCGTTATATGGGAAGTGGGCGGAGTTGCAACCCGATTTCAACTATTTTCACACCGTCAATAGAGATTCTAAAAACAATTGCTTCTAGTGAATTTTGTTATTATAGCATTAGCGGTTTAGGAGATATGCACATTAAACCTATTAGAGGCGGGACCACGCCCACTTAAAAAAAAAAGGTTTAACTACAGATGCCCCTCCCTAATTTGATCCTGTGTACCAAATAACAGTCTTGTATCTTATTGCGGAGCTTAGTTATGGCAAGTTATTTGTTTTTGATTAATGGCGTTTTGTGGGCGTGGCAGTGGTCCGATTACGCCCATCTGCAATACCAACCGTCTCACGGTACCAAGAAACATGTCTACCAAGTTTCATAAAGATATCTCAATTTTTACTCAAGTTAGAGCTTGCACGGACGGACAGACAGTCACCCGGATTTCAACTCGTCTCTTCATCCTGATCATTTATATATATATAACCCTATATCTAACTCGATTAGTTTTAGGTGATACAAACAACCGTTAGGTGAACAAAACTATTATACTCTGTAGCAACAGGTTGCGAGAGTATAAAAACAAAAAAAAAACTAATACCGAAAGGATGGCAAACGTAAAACTGTCAGCAGAAAATTGCTTAATGCCCACTGACCGAGCCCGTTTTCTGGCAATTCGTTAGTATGTAAAAAACAACTGATACATATATGCATGCAAATACTTGTATATACTTAACCAAATATATATGAGTTTGTGTTTGCTTATGATTTGGAAAAAGGGTAGCATGCAGCAACTGCCTTGTCATAAGAGATTTTAAGTGTGTATGTGTGTGCATTCTGAAGTGTAAGTACTGATAGCATCAAGTGAAAAACTCAAAAAGCAATTGCTCTACGCTTACATATTTACATATAATCAAACATACATTCATGCAAGCGAAGGAAAGCTGCCCCAAAATACATTAATTTTAAATATCACGTATACGCCGGGGTGTCTACTTGCGGTGTGGACAGTGTTAGGCAAAACAAAGCGAGCGTGCACATAATATTTGTATTGGATTACTAAAAGCGATAATAGAATAGCAGTTAGCAAATACTACCGCACACTGCCCGACGAACCCAAGTTTGGGTGTCTTTCAGCCATATATTATGCAGCGCATGCTACAAAAAAGGTTAAACTTGAAACCTTTATTTTTCGTTTTTTTTTTTTTTGTTTTTTGTCGCAAACAAGGTCATCGTCTACAGAAGCGCGCCTGTATGCATGTATGTATTTGTGTAAAGGGCAAGACCGTTGGTTTTTGACAACCTCACGACTGGCAAATATTTGTATATATTAGAACGCTGTCAATTTTTGTTCATTTTTGGCCTTTTTGTCATTGCGCTTCTAATGCCACATATTGTTTTCAAGTGACAGACAACAGTTGGCCTTTCCGCCACACAGCCTTTCGCCATTTTGAAACATTTTATTTGCTTTTCTTACGCTTTTTTCGATTTTGTTGTTTTTTACTTTTGTGTAAAATAGGTAGTTCACTTTGGCACTCAAACTTCATCTGTCTACATTAATGTTTGGCATTTGCTTAAGGTTAATGGCTGTCAGAAACTTTTTGCCAGCGCTGACACTTATGTTTGCTTCTTTGTGTATGTGTGCGAAAGTTTACCATACTATTTAACATCAACCGCTAACTATTTGACATGACAACTTAGACGCCAGTCGCCGGTTCATTTGATGGGCTGGCATTTTGTCAGCAAGCTGTCAGCTTTAATGCTCCACTCATTTTATGTTAATATTCATTGTTTGTTTCAACGTTCAGCCATGTTTTGGCCTTTACACACATATGCCTTTGAATAGTAAAAGAAAAGTAATGACAACTTAATGTCAACATAATTTTATTATATATGTAAATGTGTAAAATATCTGCTTTCAAAAAATCTGTGGAGTTATTTAAAATATATTTCTTAAGTTGGACGTGCTTTCGATAATTATATCCCCATATCAATTGCTCTAATCTTGAAAATATCAGAAAAACAAGTAAAGAAGGGCTAGGTTCGATCGTAACCGTTTATATTAGTTGCAACTTGCAAGGATCAAAGCCGGACAAATACCTTCTGTTGTTGGGAAAACTTTATATTTAATGTTGCAAGAGAATTTAACATTCATTATTCGACGAAATCGTGAACAGATTACCATCAAATTCTTATCTTATAAACTCGCATTTATTAAGGTAACTCACATACCATCACTTATATATAAGAAGCAAAGGGGGCTGGAGTAAGCTTTCACCCAGTTTTATCCATTTAAAGCACAAAAATACATTTGAGAGAAACACGCCCCCAAAAACTGTGTTAAGGTAACTCACATATTGACCGATATATGCGGAAAAAGTCAGTCGGACACTCGAAAATTTGTCTAGGGGTATATATGTATATGTATATGGTATAAAAAGTTCGCAATAGGAACTGGGGTCCACATATTTGGTAGCTAGGGGCTTGAATCGGTTTGGTTCCTGATTTGTATACTTGAAAGTGAAATAATTATATGGATTATAAAATTGTGTTGTATGCGAAGTTCGTGTGGTTGTAGTCCGATTATATAATTTAATGGAATATAAGGATGTTAAAATAATTATACGTACCAAATTTGGTCGATATCGGTCGCGTAGGTAACAAAACCCATCGTTCAGATTTTACTCAGGGCCCTATAAAGCTCTTTAGTACCATCTCGGGTGTAAACTTTTATGTCTCTTATGAATTTAGTTATAGATTTATAGAACTTTTAGAGGTTTTTAAAAAAACCGTTATATGGGGAGGGGCCGGAGTTATAGTCCGAATTCACCCATTTTCACACGGTTGGTAGAGATGCTAGGAGGATTTGCACTGAGCACTGCATCTGGTTATTATAGCTTGCATGGCTTAGGAGATATGTACATTAAATTAAGTAGAGGGCAAAGCCATGCCCACTATTAAAATACTTTTTCAACCACAGATGTAAAAATGAACCCGTCGTCACTTTTTTGCCAGTAGACACGTGTACCAAGTTTCAAGTTATAGCTTGCACGGCGGACGGACAGACTGACGAACGGACAGACAGACAGTCACCCGGATTTCAACTCGTCTCTTCATCCTGATCATTTATATATGAATAACTCCATGTCTATCTCGATTAGTTTTAGATGATACAAAACAACCGTTATCTATTATTAATATAGTCTGTAGCAACATGTTGCAAGAGTATAAAAAACTTAACAACAAAAGCCTTTAGTTTTTATAACAAATTGAGTAAAAGCTCTTTCTCATTTCAAATAAGTTTTTAAACAAATTTCCCATTTTTTATTCTGGTTATTTAATTTATTTATTAATATTATTCATTATTTGCTCTTCACGACTCAGCGCTTAAGAGGATTTTGAGCTCAACAAGCGTGTAATATTTGTAAGCTTCATCAACTTTCTATCATAATTGTAAATAAATTCGTATTTAAGAAAAATATATTGTATATATATTGTTTTAATAATAAACCATATTTTTTTAATAGTAAATATTTTACCAAATTTTATTATGCACACTTTAATGGAATTATATAATATAAAAAATAAAAAAGTCTCAGCCTCGCAGAAATACACAAGAATATCGAATTCACCGCTGATGGAGGCACAGTATTAGTACTGACACCAAAAGCAATATCCAGCACAACAATAAGCACATCACCTATATACGCATACATATATGTAGGCAATAAATACACATGCATTTGTTTACTTAGTTTCAATGGAGAGGCATTAATTTGTCATAGTGTTGGGCAATGCTCAAGTAAATAAACTCAAAGCACACACACATATACATAGGTACAAGCATACTTGTAAATAATCCACTGCAAATGAAAATTCAACTGGCATTTAAATGCTTTTGTTTTTGTTGTGCCTTTTTCGGCCACTCACATCCCTTAGCATTTCTGCTGTTTTATTTTTACTGTCAACTTTTTTCGCTTTGCTAAAATTCTACTGTATTTTTGCTACACACACACACAGGCACACAATGACACTTCGCATGCAAACGTCCATCACACATCACTTAAAGGTCGTAAATAATTTGATTGCGCGCGGCAGGTTGGCGCGTGCGGGGTGTGGACGCCGTGGGGAGTGTTTACATGTGGGACATTAAACGTCAGGTGGCAATACGTCATTTGCTGTTGATGCCATCGGTAAACCGCAATGATGTAAATAGTGTATCGGCGGCAATGAACAGGCATATAAACAAAAACAAGCAAAAACAGGCAAACTTTGGTCCAACTGGACATAAATAACTCACACTCACAAAAAACAGAAGCAGCAACAACAAAGTAATTTACACGGTTGAGCAAAAAACTTGTTTAAAATGTTAACAATTGTAAGCACGGTGGCATTAAAAAAGCTTTATACTGCAATTAAAATTTTACTGAATTAAAGTACAGTCTAAATATTTTGATGTCTTTTAACTTCATTTATTTAGTGAAGTTCTTTTTAGTAAACACTGTATTCCTGCTGACGCTGTAAACTGCTAACATTCAGGTTTAAATGGGTTGAAATTTAGCCTACATTTAGGCGCACATAACTAACTATTAACAGAAATTATCGTTATTTATATTATTATAAAGTCAGTATACTGGCATTATATAATTTCATGGTAAAAGTTGTAAATATACATATATAATAATGGTGTTGTTAAACTGCTCATTATCGGCATTTGATCAAATTTGACACGCACTAGTAAGAAAATAAAAAAAGCACATTTTAACGTAATTTAACATAAAAGAATCCTGAGGAAATACAAGGATGCCAACGATTAATCCAATTTTCCATAAACTTGCCTAAGCCTCGGTTGAGATGGACCAACCCGTGTGCAATTTGATCAGATGGTATGTAGCCTACATGTAGGCGCACCGAACTTAATATAAACAGAATATATATTATTAGCTTTATACACACTTAATTTGAAAATCAAAAAAATCGCAATAAGTAATTTTCATGGTAAAAGTAGTAGGAATATATAATCAGGGCGTTGCCAGACTGCTACTTGCCATTTTTTTTATTATAGTTTTAATTAGTCATCGTTTTACAATGAAAAGAGTTTTTGATATCTTTAGTGTTACTTTTACAATTTTCTTATACACATTTGTGAATTTGTGGTTTCAAATTCAACATAATTTTCGTTTTGCCTCCACGTTTTATAGATGCTTCTCAAAAAGGGCAACATAGCCCACCCAAATCTGGTTCGTAATAACAAATACCAGAAGCCGTGCACCATAATATGCTTGTAGAACGAGAATTTAGTAGCGTGTATAAGTTATCCTCAGCCACTTGTAGACGATCGCGCATCCAGTAGAATAGATCTTCGCCAAATTGCGGATAGGTGGGAATGTTCTGCGAATAAAAATAAAGAATTTTAGGAGAATATTATTTATTCGACTCGAAGGCTAAGTCAATATATTGGAAATCCGGTAATGATTATGAAATATTGCAATAATATATATTGTATATATTTAATTCACGTACACTTAAATTTTCACACAATTATGAAATATGGTTTCTATTTATGGCCCTCAATTAAGCAACAAAAGCTTGAAAGTGTAATCATAGATACATATGTGATGTAAATATATTAATATGGTACAGTCAAACTTACCTATAGTGGGTTCGCACGGGAAATGAAAATGACTTCACTATATCGAAACTTCATTATATAGAAATTACGATTTTTTTTGTATTTTTATTTGAAATAATCAAAAAGTTACAGTTACATTCTTCCATTTTTAATTTTCAACAAAACTAATATCTAAAAGTAGAAATAAATTTCATTTATTTTTTGTTTGATTATAAAAGGATAAATGTCTCCTCGACTTTCTAAAAACTCGCTAAGGATATATTCTTCGTAGCGGCTGTCACAGGTCTGCACACCAATATCAGTATTGACGTTATCCTCAAATGATGTTTCGATATTTGCTACTTTTTTAAATGAAGACTCCAAAGCAGCCAAATGCGATATGCCTTTCTAAAACAGTTGGCAATTATTACTGGCTTAACATAGACATTGCAAACAGTGCTTAAATTTGGAACAGGTTGCAGCAGGTCTATGACCATAACCAAATTTTCCGCAACCAGTTAAGCCAATATATTCGTAAAAATTCACTTTCTATAATGTTGTTTCATGTTATAAATAATGCCTTGTTCCATTGGTAACGAAGTCATGTTGGGAGGAAAACTAGCGAGATCTTCTCTTGGCAGTGCAGTTAGCAACAAAAAGCAGTTAAAAATAAAAATCACAAAATTTTTTGTCGAGGTTTAGAAACCATTTCGTAAAAATCTCACTGGTCATCCATGTATTTCTGTTAAATACATAATCGACATCTAAAGATTTTACTACCTTAAAGCGCATCGGATTCTGCGTCTTCCCGATTACAAGCAATTTAAGCTTTTCTGATCCCGTATATTGCTTAACACCAGGACAGTTATTCTCTCCTTGCTTAATTTTCCTCCAAAGCATTTCTAATTATCTAATTTCAGTTTTTTTTATTATCATTCTCGGTAAAAAGTTCATTACTCATTCTTCATGATTGTGTATGTTGGCATCAGCATTATCCCCACATAACGTTTTTTGAATAATACCTGACGTCTTTCCATTTTAACACTGCGTCATCATTATCCTCAAATCGAAGTCGTTTTCGTTTGATGTTTACTGTGCTTATCGTCTGCATTTTTTCTATTTTAACTTTGGGATTCCTTGTTACACTACATCTATTTCTGGGAACACGGAGTTACATATAACTGAGTATAACAAATTTGAAAAACTTTCACTATATGGAAACAAAAACTTGAATTTACAGCTGTAAAATTTATTCATTATATAGAAATTCATGGTAAGAAGTGAAAAATACACCGAAAGTAGAACTAAAAAGCTGTGTTTTCGAAATTAATTCATTAAAAGGAGAGTTTCATTATAAGGTAGCTCACTATAAGAGAGTTCGACTGTATATGGAAAACATGTATATATTATATAAAAAATATTCTAAATTGAAGTCAGGCAATTAAGTCGCTTAATTTGCATTTGTCACACGCGTCAATGAATAACTGTTCCTCAGCCAGCACAATATCGCTCCCCCCCGAAGTCAAAGTTGATTTAATTAAATAAACGTGATAAATCACAGACTTAAATTGCTCTATGAAATTCTGCTAGCGTAAGTTAGTTAAGGAATGAGCGAGTGATTAATTCGCAAACGGCGTATAGACATTCTAAACGTCTAACTGAGCCTCCTATATACTTACCTACAAACACACATCAGAAGGTATGGAGCGCCATACCTACCAGCATTACTGTATAAGTATATTTTATGTGTGTCTTGCTGGATTTGAATAATTAAATACGTATTCCTTAAATGCGCATCCATACCACACATATACATACAAACATACATACAAAAACATAAAGATGCATTCATCCAAACTTCCACAGGTATCCATTGGTTCGAGAAGACTTCGTATCACGCATGGTTATGAATATTTATGAGATCATATGTTGCTGGAGTCGACAAGTACAACAAATCAACTGCTAAAGGCAATGTCTGCTTATTGGGTGCGGAAGTGGCGCAAATCACGTTAGTTAAACGCATAAATCCTATACGCACCATCTACTCGAATGCTATAGTTAATTGCGAATTGTTACGCATACGCCATGGCTAACCAAAGTTTCTGTATACTATTGATACACATGTAGTGGTAATAAATATATACAAGTACATTTTTATAGACAATCGTAGTGCCTTTTATTTGCAGTTTGGTATTCATTAGAGACAATGTGGCCGAATGTTGATGAAATTTATTTTCACTAATTTTTTTTCGTTGTACTTAATTTAAATTTCCCATATCTTCCGGTTACCATCATATATCTTGTTTAAATATGAAGTACAGCATAAAAAAAATTGTGATTATTTGCGTAAAAATAAATGAATTTGATCGCAGAAATGGAAGATGTTGGGCCATATATTTCTCTAGTTCGCTAATATCGAATAAAATTAATTTTTTTTATTCGAGCTTTAAGGAGGTATCAAATATGAGCGGAACGCAGACATACATTTTCTTGGGAAACATATGGTATAGCGAATAGTATTACCCTAGAAAGTTTTAAGAATAATTAGTACATAAATTAGTAAAGTAAACTCGTAATAGTAATTGGTTCATAAATGAATCAGGATTACTCATTAAACATTTCTTTTTAATACATTTTCATATACATGTATTTGTTTCACAAACTAGATATTAATACTTATGTGTGTCTTTGATTAAACTTCGCCGAATTTAATCTTTCCCCATCTGCTTTGAATATACATAGTTGATTTTGCCAAGTCCATAAAAATCACTTAATTATCAAAAATGTATCTTAAGTCAAAACAAAACACACTCGTCTCCGTTTCCTTAATATTTATTCCCTTTGCACGTGTTCTTAAGTGTTGTCGCTAAGAACAAAAGTGAAGAATAACAAATCATTAATACAAAATTCGCGCTCATTTAACAGTCAAAGGCGCACAAACAAACGAGGCAGGTAAGTGGCTGCTGAACGGTAGTTGGAGATTGCAGAGAATTAAATTCAATTAAGAGTAACTATGAGATGAACACTGTCGTACAAAGGCAACGAGGCAGCGCAGACAGGAAAGCGATGAGGATGTAAACGAGCAGACGTTTCCGTGCCACACACACACACATAAATATACTGGCAGGTACATACCTAGCGAGGAGCGTTGAATAATTTCTCAATTTGATGGCAACCTGCTATGCGACGTTTGACGACAAGCAATAAACCAGTAAACCCTGCTAAATCTCAACGCCGTGGAGAGAAGGGCGGTGTGCGGGATGGCCGATGAGGTTACATTTCCACCTTCATGTGTGCGACGAAGCGGAGGCAGCACTGAAGCTGGCGTATCATTAACTATGGTAGCGCGATGACAATAGTAGCAAACACAGCTACAAAATCACAGTTCTACACTTTTACATGTATATATGTACGTGTAGATGTCGAGCGGAAGCGGAATTTCTCAATGTCTGCGTAATTTGATACATATCCGGCACTCTAGCAAAGGAGAAGCTGCCGATGACAATAATGACGGTGAGCAAAATGAAAAGATATCAAGTGCCGAAATGAGCTTTTGCGGCGCGCGGTGAAGGGCCTTCTGCAACTAGTGAAGTGCTGATGCATGAAGTCATCAACAGGAAGATGATGGTGCCACAAGCGTAGCAGATACGCAGAGTGAAGTAACTACTGATGCCATGAAAAACACGAAAACGAAGATGTCACCGAGTGCTGGTGCCGCAGGAATGCTGGAATTCAAGAAAGCAACTGCTGACACATTGCGCGCGCGAAGTCATCAAGGTGTGAATATATACACATATATAGATATAAGTATATCTGTGTGCGTGTGTGTACATGATTGCTTGAGCAGCAAATGATTCCCGATGAATGGTTTGCGTAGACACGGTGGGTACTGGAGAAGCACCATTCAAGTGGCCCGGTGTGCAAAGCGTCACAAACAACTCACGGCAAATAACTCAAGTAGTAAGTAAAGCTGATTATATGAAATTCTTAACTGAACAGGTTGCAAATAATACGTCGTCACGGGTGTGTGTGTGTGTGTACATGTGTAAATACGTTCTACTCTCTTTAACTGCTTTACGACGCTGAGTTGACATTTAATTTCAATGCTTGTCCATTTACGAAAGCTTAACTACGACGGCAAGTGCACAAAAGGTCACCAGCAAGACAAGCATTACAACGAAACTTCAACTCACACTTCACATGCACGCATAAACACATATACATATATCTGAAGAGCAAGAGGTCATGCCGATTATAATGACAATTTACCGACACGACTTCATTCATAAAGTTGACAGCTCAATATAGCTGGAGTGTAATATGATGGCGCTCATGGGATAGACGAGTAGCTCACGGCTGTACAATCTCAATCATGAAATGTGTCGCACAACAAATCGGTTGCTTTCCTTCAGGTTTTTATACTTCGTATATATATAATATATATAATATTGTGACATATGTGCATGAGACCATATACTGCGTAGCATTGATGTCGTTCAATCGAAATGAGGAAATTGTTCTCTACAGTTAATCGTGGCACGTAGCCACTCAGCTGAACTCATTTCAAATGCGGAAATTAGCTAGCAACATTTGAGCTGGTGACACATATACATACATGCATACATGCGTACCTGAAATGATTTTGTTTTTCTCTTAATATAAGAGTAATCCGTACTTGTAGAATTAATCCGCTTTGTGCAGCAGAATCTCATTAACATGTGCTTCGACCTCCATAGTTGGATCATATATTCGCGTAAATATGTATTGTGCAGAAGATAAA